ATCAAAAATTGTCCCAAAGTCCATACTTTATCTATGAGGTATTCCTCCATTCATTAGGAACTATCACGTGTGGGTGGAGGCCTGGATGACGCGCCCTGATCTTGACGGGGACTATGGCGGCTGGCAGGCGGTCGACGCCACACCTCAAGAACTCTCACCTCACTCCCGTACGATGGTTGTAGGCCCCGCCTCCATCCAGGTACGTAACCACACTTCCAAATAAGGCAATAATGAATATCTGCTACATGTATAGGCTATCAAGGACGGCAAAGATCTCAAGTATGATAACGAGTTTGTGATTGCGGAGGTTAATGCTGATATAAAATATCACGTTGAGAAATCAGACGGTTCTTTTGCTGTTGTCTCAAGGCATGAGACTAAAGTTGGTAAGCACATCAGTACGAAGGCTGTCGGGAGAAACTCAAGGGAAGACGTGACGTCTCATTATAAGTACCCTGAGGGTAGTGCCTCTGAACGGGCGGCACTGATGGGTGGGAGTGGGCAGGAGGAGGAGGAGAAGAGAGCTGTTAGTTTCTCGGCTAAATTGACCTCTGGACGGAGAATTGGAGAAGATTTGACGTTTGGAGTTACTGCTAAAATAGACTCACCAATTTCAGGTAATAATAATAATTGTTATTGCTGTTGTTGTTATTATTATTATTATTATTATTATTATTATTATTATTATTATTATTATTATTATTATTATTATTATTATTAATTAGGTAATATTAATGTGACTGCTGTTTTTGAGACTACCACATACACTGGAGTAGTTGGGAAAGAAATCAAGAAATCAAAATCAATCTTAAGTAAACCAATTACATCATACATTTATTTTATTATTAAAATTATATTATTCTCTAGGGCCCAACAATAATGCCACTGTTGATGTTACTTTTGTTTTAAAAGCCACAGAGTATCGGAAACACTTAGGAGAGCAACCGCTGATATCAGTCACAATACTAGGATATGTGGAGGAACCAGAGCAGGCCTGGGTCCATAAGATACCAGTGAATCTGGAGCTACCAGAACTGACCATTAACATTGATGGAAAAGGTAGGGAAAATAAGGATATTTGGGGGTTAAATATTAGTGTACGTAAAATTAATTAAGTTAAAAGTTCATGGTTAAAATATTAGTGTATTATAATTGATTATATTACCTCTTATCAGGTGATGATGTTAAATTGAAGAGTGGAAGAACAGTGAGTGTTAAGGTGACACTGAAGAATCCACTGAAGAATGAATCACTGACCAACGTGACACTACACATTGAAGGAACTGGATTAATAGGAGCTCGCACTTTAAAATCAGCGTAAGAGAGAGAGGGGGGGAGGGAGGGATGGATGATTTATTGTTGTTTTCTCTTTGCTATAGTAATGTCCCATCTAATGGCTCCATAACTAATTCCTTCAGCATCACCCCCAGGTCTTATTGCAGGGTCAGTGAGAGGAATTATTTGACACTGATAGTAACTGGAAGATGCAATCAACTCAAAGGCCTAATGGGTACTGGATCAGTTGAAGTAGTACCATGAGATACAGTGGAACACGTTCATCAGTAGCACTAGTAGTGTACCTCATTATTAATACTTGTACCCTCATTGTATACATGTACCTGTAGCAGTAGAGCAGACAGTTTCTGGTAATTTTATATTATTGTTTTATGGTCTTGTCCTATTATTAATTTTTTCTATTTTTTATCATTTTTTTCTATTATTTATTTTCTATTATAGTTATTTTTATTATTTTTTATTACATTTTTCTAATAAATAAGTATTATTATTATTATTGTCTTGGTTTAACAAGACTCCTCTTGGAAAGAAGAGAGCTAAAGCTATCAAAGAAGCAATGGGAGAGGATGATGGAGGAGGAGGGAAGAAAGGGAAGGGAAAGGAAAAGAAGAAATAAACACAAAAATACAAAATACACGTACACTTATTATTAACTGTATTGTTATAATTATCTTTGTCTTTAATTCCAAATGTATGTAATATTTATAAGAGAGGAGTGAGTGTCATTATTATGCTCCCTATCATGATTAATGAATTCCTGCTCTGTGTGTGGGCTGGTATCAATGAATCTAATTAACTGATCACAAGATGTCCTTAAAGGACAAGTGTTGGGCTGCGTTTGAGAGAGGAGATCATGAAGAAGCTGTTCTCTTACTACCATTAGTGGAGGAACATAATAAAATTAGAAGAGAAAGGGACGGTCTACTTCAT